GTAACAAAAAAGGATTACCCACAGAAACAAGAAAAACAAACACTGTTACAAGTTGTTTGATAAAATCTCGGATTCTAGAAAAATGAAACCTTTACAAAATTGGAAAGGGAAAAACTTGGAGAAAGCAACAATAAAAATTGTATATGGCAGAATATACAAAAACATTCTGTTCTTAATAGAATACCTGATCTCGAAAGAGTTTCAAGATTTACAGTTTTCTCACTAGCTTCTTGAAGTATTTTGGTGTGAAGTGTTCAGCTTTTTCTGCTTGAGAAGACACAGAAAAGGATGAGAAAATCTGCCATGAAGTGGTCAGGTCTTTCTTTTCTTGGATTGATTTATGGACCCATTAGATGGTTAGTTTCTTGGTGCAAGGGTGCTAATTGCTATCCGCCAATTTGCTTCTCAATTGTTGTGATTGCTGCTGAAAAAAAAACTGATCTTATCTGCTCATGCCATACTTTTTTTATTTAGAAAAGTAGAATCAAGCTGGGTCCATCCAAATCTTTACAGATCCTGAAAACTTGTTTTTCATTGGTTGTGTGTGTAATATATATATATATTTGCACACAAAACAGACAATACTTTTATAGATATTATTGATAAAGATTATAAAATGCTTATGTAATATTTTGTTTACAAAATATAAAAAAAGTAGTTAGCTTTAAAGTTGACTACTTTTTTATCTTGTATTTATTTTGTAAACAAATAATACAATATTACATAAGCATTTTATATAATCTTGATCTATAATATCTATAAAACTGTCTTTTTTTTTTTTTTTTTTTTCCATATCTGCTCTATTACCTTTCCCTTCCACCCACTAGCAGTCAACAGTCAATAATGCTGATGACTGTTGACTGCTTTTGTCATATTTTTGTTGGTGAATTTTCACCTATGTGTTTAACAAGACCTATTTTATTTTTGGTCCAGTCATTAAAGGAATTACATGTATGGAAAGAGAATAAAAGAAGCATTCTAATGTTAATATTTTGTGCCTTCAGACATTGAATATTTTTACTATTTTATTTATTTATTTTATTTTTTATTTTTATTTTTTTTTTATGATGGCTTCTGCTGTATTTTCATACATACTACAGGTGGGATAAGTCCATGTTTCTGTTAATGTGGTATTTATAACTCCTCACTGATAAATTATGAAGTAAAAGTACAATTTTTTTTTTTTTTTTTTTTTTTTTTTTTTAAATAAATCTAGGGATATGTATTTCTTTTTTCTAAATTAGGGAAACTTTTAAAACTTTTTTTACAATATTAAAAGAAAGAACTTGTTTTTCTTTATACCCCCCCCCCCCCCAAATCAAGTGAGGAATCATAAATTAAAAATACCGTGTTAAAAAATGGTTTATTTTTCTTTTTAACAAGGTTTATCCCACCAGCTGACAATGTGTTCTGGAGACTTTTTTTTTTTTTTTTTTTTTTTTTTTTCCTCTCTCTTTCTGGGGAAAACTTGAAGATTTTAGTGTTCAAAAACAAATCTTTATCATTAGTCTATATTACTTGAGACTTGCAGCCGTATCCTGTTGAAACCCCAGTTCCTGTACAATCACTAAAGTTAATCAATATTGAGCCTGTTCAGTACCTAGATGGGTGACCACTTGGATGCCAAGTGCTGTAAGTTTGAGTGTGTAGGTGATGTAATGGATAACAATTCGAGATTCTAATTAGTCACATTTGTTGCATTCATTTGCATGCAAATACCTTTGCCAAAGATATGAATATACATTTTCTTATATATGGATTAATTAATAAGATTCTTATTGCTAAATCATTCTCCTAAACAATTCTTAGAATCTAAAAACCTTTTCAATAATTTTAACATTTCAAATAACTGTAAAAAGTTCAAGCTGTAGGAAACAAATCCAATTGGAATTGCATTACTTGATCTCTAAGCTTATTTTTATTTTTGTCTGATAGGTTCGATAAAGTTATATTAGCAGCTGACGTTGAAAATGACCTCCAATCTGTTAATTGGTGCATGGTTGATTGTAACCTCCATGAGTAACTCATTGGAATGAATATATTGAACCAATTGCTAAGTCTGCTGCTAGGAAAGTTGGTTCACTGTATTGTGGACGATAATTTTTCTTGCCAGAATGTGTCTTGCATCTCTTTTAGGTCTACCATTTGTATGTGTTGAATATTGTTGCCACATCTAGTCTGGTGTTCTTCTGTGTATCTAGAGACTTTTGACAAAATCCAAAGAATCTGCAATGTTATCAATCTTTACCTGGCATCTTGGCTTCAATCATTTTCTCACTGCCATTACCTAGATTTCCTGTTTTTGTTTTTTTTTTGTGTTTGTTTGGGTTTTTTTTGTGTTTGGGCTTTTTTTTGTGTTTGGGTTTTTTGTTTGTGTTTGTTTGTTTGGGTTTGTTTGTTTGTGTTTGTTTTTTTGTGTTTGGGTTTTTTTTTTTTTTTTGTTTGTTTGTTTGTTTTTGTTTTTTTTTTTTTTGTTTGTTTTTTGTTTGGTTTTTTGTTTGTTTGTTTGTTTGTTTTTTTTTTTTTTTTTTTTTTTTTTTTTTTTCTATAGTTATTTTCATGGTCATTGTTCTGATGAGCTTTCCTCTTTGGTGCCTCAACTTTATGAATTTAAGCACAGTACTAGATTGGTAGCTAGGTCTCATCCTTTTTACTATTGAAGTTGCTAAATGTAACCATAGGTTCTATTCTAATTGTTTCTTCTCTCACTCTTGTCTGTGGAACTTTTCAGATTCTTACTTTCCTGTTAACTATGATCTTCAAAAGTGTTTGTTTTTTTGTTTTTGTTTTTTTGTTTTTTTTTAATGCAGCATTAATCATGTTTTGTCTTTTTGTATCATGTTCTTTTATTCTCCTTTCTACTCAATGAGTTCTCAGTTTCTTTTGCTCTCAGTAACCTCTTGCATCTCAGTTGCTTTATTGCCTTGCCTGAGGTGAAATGATAAAAAAAAAACTAAGGCTCTGCATTTTTTTTCTATAAAAAAAAAAAAAAAAATTCTGAATTCTAGGCAAATCCTTGTCTTGGAGATTATATTCCTATGTGTCTTTCTCTTCTTTTTTTCTTCCCTGTTTTCCCCTGTTGCATTGTCATCAGGGAAAAGTTTTCTTGACACTAACTCTTTATTGGAAATATATAAAGCCCAGTTTTGTTCATCATTTTCATTTAACCCTTTCCTTTCTTTGACAAGTTTCAGAATTTACTATCCTTTTCTTCCTTCCTTGACTTTTAATGGCAATTTCAAATTACCCAGTTTATTCTTTTGGGCAACAAAAAAAAATTTCAAATTTTATTTCTTGTCTTTCTCTAAAGTGTGCTTTGTTTTTTTTTTTTTTTTTTTTTTTTTTTTCCTCTCAAGTTAATTAACTTGAGTATGTATACTTTTATTTTGCTTTCTTTGAATGTTCAGTAATGTTACCATTTACATCTTTATATTTCATGTTCTCTCCTCCTGCAATTGAATGTATGTTTGCTATCAAGTCATGATTGAATTTTGGAAAAGAGATCGAAGCTATGTTAGTCTAGTGGATCTTCATTTCAGTATTTGGCCGTTATAGAATAATCTGATAATAGGTATCCCAAATCTCCCTAGTTTACAGTGTGAACACCCAAAATAGTGAAATTTCCTCTCCTTTCAGCTGCCTTGTTTATTTTCTAAGCTATTATGCAATTAGTATGTCAACAAAATTCCTCCTTGTGTGTGATTATTAGTTTTTATTTCATGTCTCATGGTGTTTTCCAATTGTGCTCAGTTGTCTATACATATCATACTTTCACAAAGAAACTGAAAAATTTTAATGGGTGAAATACCAGAAAAATTCACCACCTAAAAAAAAAAAAAAAAACTTAAACCTCCTTAGAGAGCAATGTCTCCCCTTTTAATAATCAATTGGTTTTATATCTGTGCATGCAAGTCAGAAAGAAGGTATATGGCATCCATTTTGTGCAACACAATCAGATCTAACATATGGAAATTTGTATTGCTGACAGTGAATGAACATCAATTTGTTTCATCAGTGGATATTACAGTTTAAATCTTCTTCATACATGATGAAATTTAAAACTGTATAAAGAAATTCTCATTATTTTTTAAACAAATTCAAACTAGTTTACTGTTCTGTTGTTTTTTTTTTTTTTTTTTATTTAAATGCTTAAAATCATACAATTAAGTTGTGAAAGAATTTTTAAAAAGAAAATCTGAAGATAAAAACAATCAATTTAAAAAAAAAAAAAAAAAAAAAAAATTCCATTTGAGATTAACAATTTCATAATTCTGCAAAATTTCTTCCCCTAGAAGAAGTTGCGAGGCATTAAACTGTTGAAATGAAACTTGTATATTTGGTTAAATCTGGCTTTCTGTGTCGCATTTTTACAATTTTACTTTTGAAAACCAAGCTTTGCCAATGTTTAGGCTGGTCTGATGTAAGAACTATTGATTCTGTCGGCATTATCTTTTACTTTAAGACTACCCATATGACATTAAATTTATGAATTTTTAACTTGTTTGAAGCCTGGATGTTCAGTTATATACTGTTTTTTCGAACAGTACACAAAAATTTGAATGGTCATAATTGCTAATTGAGTTACCAAAATAAATTTGGTATCACTGCTCTCTTTTTTTCTTTTTCTTTTCGGTCTGGCAAGATCTGTGCCTGTATTAAAGGTTTTTAAATATAGTAAAGATAATTCTTTAGTTTACGATAACTTATCTGAGTGAATCAGTACCTGTATTAGGCCTTAATATTCTCACTTAGCATATTGGTTACCAATAAGCTTATAAAGTGTGGCAGATACCTAAAGTTAGAGGGTGGAGTGGACACAACATTGCATAATGCATGCATTTTCTTTTATTTTTTGTAAGCTTTTGTTTGCCTTCTCTTTGTTTATTCCTATTAGAGTATAGAATAGAAATTGGTTTGTGTGTTGCAACTTTGATAGATTCAGTTATGAAATAATTCCTCTTAGGAAGAAAATAAATTATTTTATTTCTGTAACTTTACAGACACCATTTATGATGAAGATGAAGTCCTTTTGGCTCTGGCAGAACAACTTGGAATTTTCACACCTTTAGTTGGTGGTTCTGAGTATGTCCACTGTCTTTTGGTAAGTAGTTTCTCTTCTGATTTTACTTTTAGTATTTGTTCTGTTTATACTAAAGCTAATTATATAGCTATATCAAGAAGTCTGTAGTCTAACAAGAAATAATGCATTTTACACAAGATATTTATCAGTATAAATGCATTGATTTGGTGAATAATATTGATCATATAGGTTAAATATTATACAGAATATTTCAGATTGAAATTTAGCTAATAACTGTCTGGCTATAAACTTAATGATTTACTTTAATGAATCCACACAGAGCATGTAGTTAATATAATAATGATTACTATAAACTCTATTGATCACTTTTATTAAAAATAAAAGGTTTTCATTTATTTTTTTCATTTTTTTTTTTTTATTTTTTTTAAGTTTTCACTAAAATTTAGATTTACATGACTTCATCTCCTTTTGATGATGAAACCAATTTTCAAAGGAGACAGCATCTCACTTCTGACAGCTGTGATTTATTGAACTTCTAAAAGCTTTTTTTCAAATCTCATTACAATTGACATTTCTTTTTGAAACAACCAGCCTTTAAACAATAATTTCAAATAAATGCAGCAGCTTTAGCATTGATCTGCTTATGATCAAATCATGCAGAAAACACTGCTTCTTTGTTTGATCAAAATTAAGCAGTTTTGAGCCTAGGACACCCTCTTAGAAAATGTGTTTTTATGACCAATAGTGGAGTGTGTGAAATAGTATCTTTAAAAGCAGCCATCCACTGGACCAAAATAAAATAATTTTGGGGGGTCAAGTGACAACAAACAGGATGTTGGACATTTCCAGTTGTTTGCTTATATAATCATTCAGTTTGGACTGAAGTAATTCTGCACTACCTGTTGGCAGGAACAGAATCCCTCCAGATAGTTCTAATGTTGCTTGTTAACAATATTCATAATGATATAAAATATCTACAAAATCTCACTTCTCATATCAGTTTTGTCTGTTCATGGTTTTGTTTCCCTTTCGATTTGATGTGTGTGTGAGATAGATATCTCTCTCTCTCTCTATATATATATATATATATATATATATATATATATATATATATATATATATATACTAGCATGGCATAGATTTGGATTACGTCATGCCCTCGCAGCCAAGGGCACCCTACACTGCCAACCATAGGGTGAATAAAATTAGACTTAAGGAAAGAAATAAGATCCCTTAAGAAGATTTATAAAAGGGCAATACTCAGAGGGAAATTAAAAACTATACGGCAAGCAAAGTGGCATGAGAGGAGGAAAGAAAGATCAAAAAGTGGGCAAATTTCAAGAACATTGCTAGGGGATATGGGAAATTGGAGGCTTCGGAGGAAGAAATTAACTACCTTCAGAATACCATGTGTGACCCTGCAAAAGAGCGAAGACTGGGTATAAATACCCGCTTAATTCCTCAGAAGCCACCAGTGGTCCAATTTGACACCCACTTGCCCACCTGGAAAGAAATTCAAGAAGTTGAGAGCCACCAGGACAAAGTGGGGTACCTTAAATTGTGTACAAGCAGTGTAAGGGAATTCTGCAAATTTTGTGGAAGATATTAAGTCATTTAGCGAAGAGGCAGGATCGTGGCGCAATGGAGATTCGCTGAGGGGGTATGGATCCCAAAGGAAAAAGGTTCAGTCACTGGACCAATTTTGAATAATTTCCTTACTCAACACGGAAAGTAAGATCTTTTTCAGTTTGTCAAGACGCCTTTTGAAATTCGTTCTTGAAACAGCTACATTGACACATCAGTCTAGAAGGGCGGGGTCGCTGGTATGCCAGGTTGCCTTGAGCATAACAGGAGTTGTGACACAGCTCCTGAAAAGGGCAAAGGAAAGCAAAGGGGACCTGACTGTATTGTGATTGGATCTCGCTAATGCCTATGGGTCAATGCCACACAAACTGGTGCAAGAAGCCCTAAATAGACATCACGTACTTCCATCAGTATGCGATCTCATTGTAGACTATAATAATTTCTGGCTGAGAGCATGTTCAAGTACAGCAACATCAGAATGGCAGACCCTGGAAAACGGTATCTTCACTGGTTGCACAATGTCTGCTGTCCTATTTTCATTAACCATGAACATCCTTGTAAAGGCAGCTGAGGTGGAATGCCAAGGCCCTGTGTCTACATCAGGAGTCTGCCAAGCACCGATAAGGGCTTACATGGACAATTTAACCGTGACAACAACATCTGTCACGGGATTAGGTTGGTGGCTCTTAAAGGATCTCGAGGAAAATATGACTTTGGCCAGAGTGTATTTTAAGCCAGCAAAATCCAGGTCATTAGTATTGAAAAAAAGGCAAGGTCCTGAAGAAAGTCTGGTTTATAGTCGCAGGAGAAACAATTCCTACTCTCAGTGAAAAGCCTGTTAAGGGCTTGGGCAAGACTTTCAACAGCAGTCTGAAGGACACCGCCGCGATCCAGCAGACTATAAAAGATCTTTAGGAGTGGCTGACGAAGATTGACAAATCTGGATTACCAGGACATTTTACAGCATGGCTCTTCCAGCATGCAGTTTTGCCCTGGATATTATGGCCATTGCTCGTCTATGATATTCCGATTACTAATTGCTCTAACATTTCCACAATGGTAATCATTTGAAAAGGTGGCTGGGTTTGCCGAGATGCTTAAGTGGTGCGGCCCACTATGGGAACAGCAACACATTGAGCTTCCCCTTTAGCAGCCTCGTGGAAGAATTCAAAATCACAAAAACGAGAGAATGGCTGCAGAATCTAAAGATCCAAAAGTAGCAGCAGCAAGAATTCGGACAAGATCTGACAGGAAATGGAGTGCTGAAGGAGAGACTTAGGCATAAAGCTATATTAGGGCCAATAGCTAAAGGCAAAGCGGGATTGGGGTTTTTCCCCTGTCTGCAAACCAACATTGCCAAAAGCAAAGAAAGACGTCAACTTATCTAAGAAGAAATCTGCGCGGGCGTAGAAGAAGCGTGTTACTGTAAAATAGTTGGTCTAAGTCAGCAGGGAGCCTGGACAAAATGTGAGAATGTAGAAAAGAATAGGATTACATAGTCAGATTGCTGGTGGTCAGATTTTAGCAAGATTCAATTTCTCATCAAATCAGTATATGTCCTACCGAGCCCAATGAACCTGCATATCTGGGGGAAGAGCGAGACCCCCAATTGCCAACTATGTGCAAGGAAACGATCCTTACAACATATCCTCAGTAGTTGCCCAAAAGCTTTGGGTGATGGTTGGTACCGGTGACGTCACGACCAAGCACTCAAAGCAATTGTGAACAAGGTGACTAAAGCTGTAAGGGCTAGTAAGCATCAACCAGGAAAGAAATTGAATCAGATTAACTTCATAAAAGCTGGAGAGAAGATACAGAAACAAAGGAAAGGGAGCCTGTTATCTTCCGCAGACGATTGGCAGTTGATAGTGGACCTAGAGACCCATCTGAAGTTCCCCAGACATGTAGCCATAACATCACTAAGACCGGATCTGGTATTGCACTCTGACAACACAAAGCGGTGCATTATTTGTGAACTATCTGTGCTATGGGAGGAATATATTACACTAGCTAATGAGAGAAAGAGGTCCAAATACCAAGAACTTGTTGAACAGTATTGGCAGAAGTCATGGAAGATATACTATGACCCCATAGAAGTTGGTTGCAGGGGCTTTGCTGGACAGTCATTGTGCAGAGCCCTAGCAAAAATAGGCACAGTGGGGGAAAGTTAGGCCAAGAGTGCTGAAGGACATTACCAACGCAGTTCTAACTGCGTCAAAATGGATTTGGCTTAAGAGATCAGCCATGGAAGAAATAATGAGGATATGGGAAGCCTCAGAATCATAATTAGGAGACATGTTACACGTTATAAGGGAATATTGAGACAATATATTAAGTTAGGGTAGTCAAACTGTTATGGATAGGGGTTGAGAGCCATTGGTGTAGGGGGGGTGCATGGCTAGGAGTTTTTTTTTGCTTTTCGGTTACTGATTGCTATTTTATTTTTTTTTTTTGTTAGCGCTTACTCATGGTTTTATTTCAGTATTAAAAGCCTAATGGCGTATTTATTATGAATGGAATGGGGGAGAAAGATAGTTTCATAGTAATAATGATCTGGAGATTTAGGGAGTTGATGCTAGTACTAATTGGTTAGATTTATTTTGAGAAATGTGTATCAGATTGTAAATATGTGTATAGGTTACTTAATTGAGTAGATAGCATACTTTATTTATTATTAGGCCATCGAATTATTGTAGTCAGTAAATGACAAAACTGGGAAGGAAATAGTTAATTTGTAGTGAATTAAAGTAAATGGGGACAGAAGTTATGGACGTGTGTCAATACGTGTGTGTGCATAGTTACATTTGTGTGGATGTGAGAATGTACATGCAGGTGATTTTTTTATGTGTGTTATTTTGTTTGAATAAGAGCAGAAGGTAAGCATTACAGATTGACCTGATAGAATAGCAAATTTCTTTTTAGAAAGTGCTAGTATAGGATAGATTTGGGTTGGGTACTCTTGTAGGTTTGGTTAAAGATTTAGTATCGCTATGGGATTAGTATTTAATATGTAAAACATGGGTTTAAACAGTGCAATAAAGATACAAGCTCACCTCATTATGGATTCCGGAAGTAGTAAATCGAAACGGGATGACGTAAAAAGACAACGCTATATAGTAGTGTGAAAAGCCCTGTTTTCATTGGCTGACACTGACTGACATATGTCAATAAGAACAGTTGAAATCCAGCCTTGCTAGTTCTTATTTTTACTGTTTTTTGCAATGTCGCGGTGCTTAGCACGACACTTTCAAGGAGATGGCCTGACTTGTCTAGAATCGGGTCAAGGTTGCTGTTGGAGTCAATATGATGCGAAACCGAAATCGGTGATGAGAACAGTGCCATCACTGAAGACCACCCTTGATGCATCTAAGATGTATGATTTAACAACAAAAATAACTTGTATATAATTTGAAAGAAAAAAAAATTAATTAAACCTTCATTTTCATGGATGACTGATTTTTCTTGTTTCAGTCTGTGGATTGGAGGTATCTTTTGTATTTCTGCTATAATGACTAGAAAATGTACAAAGATATGAACAACTATTTGGCCAGATGTCATGACATTTATGAACTTAATTTTAAAAAAAGAAAAATGTTCCCAGACCAAGCCTTTCTCTGCAGTGCTGTCAAACATGGATTAAGTTTCATTTCCAGTGAAACTGCAGATTTTTGTGTCTTTTGAAAGACTGTGAACTGTTTCTGATAAAATATCAGAACAATAAACCGTTGTTTCCTTTCCCTGTAGATGATCTTATTAGCAGGATCATGAAACTTTTAAGAGTTGTAAAAGAAAAGCACACTAAAAAGCTAATTACATGTTCCAAAGTGAATTTGTAAGAATTTTGTTAAAACCCAAAATGCATAAAGATGCTGCAAAGATCGAGTGTGGAATTGTAAAATCTATCCAAAAGGAAATGTGTCAAGATCTGTTTGCATACAGAATTGCAATAATATTCATTGCCATCATTGAGGAACTTCTGGCAAATTTACCCTTTTAGGTACCAGCTTGTAAGGTCACTTGCATAGCTGAGCCCTGGATCCATTTATGAAAAAGAAAATTGACATGGAAGACAGTCTAAAAAGATGTCTTTCCCACATGATGGACAGAAAACAAGTCGGTAAGTTTGATTGTAATGACATCATCAGTCAGTACAGAGAGTTTGAAGAGGAAGCTGCTGGAAATATTGCTTTGAAGAATTTCAGCAAGCATTAAGACTGTCTGGACACTTCTACTCTTCTTTCTTTAACAACAAAAAATATTAAAATCTGGAAAGTTCTTTGCTGCTGGTACTCTCTCATGTAGAGGTTTCTCAGTCATTGGCAATATAAAACAGCAGGCTCTGGTTGCAGGTTGCATTATCATGGGCTATTTGGCAGTTGGAGGTGCTTGGAATGTTCTCATAACTAAGGCTCTTCTCTGCAGTGCTTCCAATGCCAGAACTATACAACCAATACCTTCAGACTGAGAAGAAATGACAGGAAGAAGCAGCTCCACAAAATACAGATTTTCCATGCTTATGGAAATTGAAAAACTGAAGACCAAAAAGCTCAAGCTTGAAAGTTTCACAAGATTTGCTCAAGTCAGCTGACAGCTATGCAGAGAAAGCTGAGCACTTGGAACATCACAGTTATTGCAAAGTCCAATGCCATGCAAAGATCTGTGAAGGACAAATACATAAACATCAAAACTGGAAGAGGAGCCGAATGCTAAAATAGATGAACTAAAGTTATTGTGTTCTGTACAATGAGCAACAAAAGCCATGAATAGTAGGCGTAACTAAAGTGTGAAGTCTTCTTGTGAACATTTCTATTTGTAGTTCTGTTCATTAAAACCACTATACATAACTTCACAGGAAATGTGAAGCCATCAAGAATTGTGACCGTTACAAACCATGAATAGTCTAGAAAGCTTAAATGTGTAGCAGTAAGAATTAGTGTGTAATTCAAAATTTTCAAGTGTAGCAGAACTTCAAACTGTAGCTTGCTACAAAAAAATGTGTAACATAACCAGGTCTGCATTCAGTTTTAACTTTCAACACTTGGATTTCTTCATTGCTTTCAACTGATCCATGTGACCTGAATTATTGGAATCAGCTGTAGGTTTTCTTTGAACCTTTTTTTTTTTTTTTTTTTTTTTTTTTTGAATTGATGGAACACTCACTGAGCATTAGATTCTCTATCCTCATAATTGGTCTAAGTTTTTTGCTACAGCAAGCCCCCTAAAGAGTTTTATGCAAAGTTTAAATTATGAATGTTTGTATTGGCAATATGGTCATAATACCTTGACTTGCATGATGCAAATGCCTTTTATTTTTTTTTTTTTTTTTTTTTTTTTAATGGCTCCAGTAAGAATGTTTTAATACTAGAACTTTTGTACCTTTTAGAATCCATTGGAAAGTTTGGCTACTGTTGAAGAGACGGTAGTCAGAGACAAAGCTGTTGACTCTTTAAGAGCCATTGCTGCTCAGCACTCTCAAGCAGATTTGGAGAACTACTTTGTACCTCTTGTCAAACGACTGTCGGGTGGTGAGTTTATATTTACTTCTAAAAACAAAAAAAAAAAAAAATCAATTAACTATTGTCTATAATAATGTACTTCCTTTGCTGGCATTGATCACTATTAAAAAAAATCTGGTGTTATGGTTTCTTCATTATTACTCGATTTGTATATTTTATTTACTGTAATATTTACGCTTGCAAAGATTTTAATGGCAAATATATACTAATAGAAAAAAACTTATTCTTCTCAAAATATATTTGCAAAGAGTTTTCATGTGTCTAGATTAGACAGTGAGTTCACACACGCCATAGGTTGTTTGAAAAAAAAAAAAAAATAAATAAAAAAACAATTTATTGCACACAAATATACTGAGGTCAAATATTAAAAAAAAAATCACTTATAAATTATACTTATTATTGCTCTTTAACTCTCAAGACAATATTAAAGATAGTATAAAAAAAAAAATCTACATATTTTCTCTTGATTCTTCAAGATGGCTTTTGAGCTTAAATTAAATCTTAATTAGGTTCTTTTGCAAACAATTTAACTTTTTCTGATAGACAATGAATTTTTTTTTTAAGCAGCTAATTCTGTAATCATGGAAGATAACCTATTTTGCTTTGACCTGTGACACCTACTAAACCTGGATGAAAAAGCAGTGTGAACAATGTACAGAGGTCATTTTTTTTTTTTTTTTGTTTGTTCAAGTGTTGGCTGTATTCATTATTATAATGAAATGAGATTGCATGTGAGTATATCACTAAGTCCATAACCTGGCAGATAATAATTAGATGAATTTTGACTAATGTTCAGTCTGTGATTAATATTATTTTAAATAAATTTATTGACAAACAAGGAGATACATTGAAAACAGTCTTGATTTAATTTTTCTTCATTTATCTACAAACAATACTTGAAATGGCATTCTTTTACTCTTTGCTGTTTTGCCTTTTTAGAAATCTATAATTTTCTCTTTCCATTTAGGTGATTGGTTCACATCCCGAACCTCAGCCTGTGGCCTCTTCTCTGTGTGCTATCCTAGAGTATCTACCAGCGTTAAAGCTGACCTCCGTCAGTAAGTAACCTTTTTTTTCTTTCTTGAGTCTAAAGTTCAAGATAGTTTTCATTTCAGCTATGATCAGTACATTGGCCTTGGGAGCAAAAGCAGAAATGCTGTTTTCAATTAGCAGATTCATTGGAGATGTGGTATGGAATGCTGAAAGGGTGTCTATCTCTTTCCATCTGTGCTTATGATAAGATTAAATAGCTCACTTCCTCCCTGTCATACTCCTGGTGAATTTGAAATGTTTCAGTATTCCCCCAGACAGCAACTATGTAGACACCTAAATCTGATAGTTCTATCATTTGGTGGAGTCGGAACTTGGTAGATAGTTTCTAATAGCTGAGGTCTCTTTTGATGTCATATGCTGCTGTGATGTCAACATGGCAAATATACATTTTCTATTGTCATGTAATTTCCTGTTTTGTTTTGACATATGCCACCTTACACCCTGAATTAAGACACTGAGCAGAGTAACCCAAAGTAGGTTTTATCCTGCACAATAGAATACTTAGTACAAATAAAACTCTAAGCAGGCACCGTTCATTTTTGACGATAGGCAAGGAGGGGAGAGAAGGAATGTTCACAACAATCTCCTCTGCTTCTAGAAATAATTAGTGGTAGTTAGTCAATCAATATTAAGGAAAGATTATATCCTAGCAGGATTTTTCAATTTGTAAGTATCTCCTTTATAACGTCATTCGATTTAAGGAAATCCGTAAAAGATCTACTTATAAGTTAAGCAGTCAGGTGGTCTACATGATCACTCTGATCTATATAAAGGAATTTAGATTTCATTTTCTGGTGTATCTGTACTAGATTCAGTCTTGTCTGGATCTAAGGTCTCAGTTTTGAGTGGGTAAGTCAATCTTGTATTGCAATGAGATCAGCAGAGGGTGAGATCTGAGTGGTACTGTGGTTTCCTTGCCTTTTTGGAGAAAATGTGTTGAGAATGTGTACATAATGAGGATTGGCTTCTATAAGTTCCGCCTCCTCCACAATGGGGTTGTACTTAGATTGTCTGACATGTTGTCTCAGAACCTTTCCTGATGTTAACCATGTTGGAACAAAATAGCCACTGAAGGTTTGGCAAAGATAGTTGAATAGCCGTTCATGAGGTGTAGCATTCATAGCTATTGAAAGTAGTGTGTGCATTGAATGTAAAGCATCTGGCAGAACATTTTACCATTGATTTATAGGTAGGCATTGAGTTTTGAGTGCCAGAGTTATTGATTTCCACAAAACATTATACCTCTTGCATTACCCATTACCTTGGGGGTTATAAGGGGTGGTATGGCTAGTTGAGATTCTGTGCCCGTGCAAGAAGGATTTCACCTCAGCTGACATGAAGCTGGACCCCCTTTCCAAATGCACGTACATTGGTATACCGAAGATAAGGAATAGTTTGAAGCACCAGATGACTGTTTGCGGTGACATATCAGGACAAACAAAGGCAAATGGGAAGTGAGAATATTTGTCTCTTATTGTAAATAGAAACTGGTTACAAGAATATGGCAGGGGTCCTTTTGAAGTCAATGCTGAGCCTTTCAAAAGGCATGGTTACTTTTAATAGATGCAGAGTGCCAGGTCTGTAAAATCGAGGTTTGCCATTTGCACATACAGGGCAAGCAGTAGATCCTCTCTTCACATCCTCCACAGAGAAAGGAAGGTTCCTCATCCTAACAAAATCATTTGCATAACACCAAAGTGAAATAGTTCAGTAATTTCTCTAGGGTGTCCAAACTTAAAGCTGAACAATAAGCTCGAGATAATGTATCTACAGTAACAGCCTCTCTCCCCAGGCAGTATTCAATATCCAAACTGTAGTAGGAAAGTTCGATCCTCCACTTTCGGATGTTTCAGATCAAATATGAATGCCTCTGATCCGTAAGTAAGGTGTTGTTCCATTAAGTAGTGCCTCCATTTACGTAAGGCCTCTGTGATAGCTTGGGCTTCCTTTTCTATAGGAGAGTGTTTACATTTGCTAGTACCCAATGTCCTTGAAAAGAAAGCCACGTGTCTACCAGATTGGTTCAATGACACTGCAATCATGTGGCATGAAGCATCGGTCTCTACAGTGAAAGGAACCGTTTCATTGATAGAACACACTATTGTTTTCGACTTCAGTTTTTAGGTATTTGAACTTTTTTTTTTTTTTTTTTTTTTTTCTCAGCAGTCTTGGGTAGTGGAAAACTATTAGCTTGTATGAGGGGAGCAACTTTTTCAGAATGTTTAGCAATCCATTGGGAATAGTAAGAGAACATTCCCAATGCACGACTAAGAGAATGAATATCACAAGGAAGGGGAAGTTCTTTAAGCAGTTGAAATCTCTCAGGAACTAGTTTAATTGTATCCTCACATATTGTATAGCCTAGATGATTCACTTTTTTTTTTTCTTCTTCTTCTTCTCTCTACATTTCAACGCCTAATTTTATGCAGGCTTTGCTTCCAATTTTCCAATTAATTTCTTGGGGTATTAACAAGTTTTTTAATTTTCTTATTTAGTATTCTCCCTTGCATCTTTTTCTCTATTGCTTTTTTTTTTTTTTTTTCTCAATCTTTTTAAATGAGGGTTGTCATCTTATGGGGGGATTTTTCCTATCTATATATGGCAGTTTTAAGTCTGTGATCGGGTTCAAAGAACATCTGTCACAAATTGCTTACTGTTTGCTGATATAAAAACCTGTAATTTTTTTTTTTTTTAACTTGTGTGCACAAATTGAGTAATTAATAACAATTTTTGATTACAGTTGATTAAAATTGAATCTTGCATGAAAATAAGGCTGCAGATACCTCCCCCCGCCTAAAAATGAAACCTAATTTTGAAAAGACTATTCTTCATAAAATAGTTTCATTAATTGATTCTCTTTAAATGCCATGTTGCTTCATAGCTCTCCATAATTTTATTTTTCTTAACATTTATAAACTTTGACTTGCCATACTTGTTCTGGGGAAAGACTGTTTTGTTTTTCTTCCCCAGATGCTTTATCCAAATTTCTTATTCTTTTATTACAAATCGCGCGCACACACACACACTCTACTGTGAATTTCTAAATTAAAACGAAGTTAATTTGTTGTTGCTACATGTCTGATTTTAGGTACAGTATTATAGTCCAATTTTACTAGCTTCTCTGACTATTTTCTTTCTTCCTGCATTTTCTTTCCAGGAACTGACTTTTTTAAACATACTTTCATTGTTGGTTGGTTGTTCGTTTTTTTTTTTTTTTTTTTTTTTTTTACTTGGTAAATAAATGGTACTCTGATTAAATCTCTTTTCTGTAGATGTTTTAAAACATTATGTGGCGATGATACTCCAATGGTGCGCAGGGCAGCTGCTGGCAAGCTGGGTGAGTTTGCAAAGGTAGCAGAGACAGAATACCTCAAGTCTGACTTGATCCCATTGTTCAACAGTCTGGCTCAAGATGAACAGGTAGATTTATTGAGGTTACTAATTAATATCTAATAGCTATTTCATATTTCAAGTTAGGTGGTAATTTAATATTAAAACAATTTTAGCCAGTTGTAAATATTCATATTTCTCTAGGTTGACATTAAAAATATATTTGCATTATTTCAGAAGCACTTTGTATATAACTTAATTCTTTCTTTTTTTTTTTTTTTTTTTTTTTTTTTTTTTTTTCTAATCAGTTATATTTGAATCACTACCTCTTGTAAAAAGATTAACATTTTAAAAGAACTATTGTCAATGTTAAGAGGAACTGTCTTAATTTTCCAACATCCACCTCTTCTAATGCAGGATTCAGTACGTCTTTTGGCTGTGGAAGCTTGCGTTGCTATAGCATCCTTGCTCAATGCTGAAGATGTTGAGCAACATGTAATGCCAACATTACGACAAGCAGCTGAAGACAAATCTTGGAGAGTGCGTTACATGGTTGCTGATAAATTTACTGATGTGAGTATTCTGTTACCTTGTTCGATCCACTTCACCCTGCTCATATTTTCCGCTGTGAGAATGTGTGGGGGGGTCTCTAAATCTCCATTTGCATACATTAATTTTCATTCTCTTATCTCTACTTGATCTGGTCAGTGCCTGGGTCAGCAAAACTTTTGGCATTCCATTTGATGCTGTCCATCCATCTCTTTCTTTGATATCGCCTTCCTCCTTGTAATGTTCTTTGTGGGATGGTATTGTAAAGTCCTCAATCTGGTCATATGGCCATAGAACTTAAGCTTCCTCTTAAGGTGGTCAAGATGATTTTATAGCCATTTATCTTTACTACAATTTCTTCAGTGATGTTGGGATCCTTCAGCCTGTCCAGGTTGGACTTTATTCTGGCAAGCTTGGGCCTTTGGTGTTCCTCAGCCTGCTTTTAAAGTTCATCATAACCATATTGTTATCACACCGATCAAAACCTCTTTTGCACCAGAATATAATCGGAAGCTTGCCAGGTCCATCATTGTGAGTCTTTGTGTTCAGTGTATTTGCAAGCACCACATTGTTGTAGCGGGCAAATTCTAGCATCCTTAGTCCTTTGTCATTCATTGATTTATTGCACAAGGAACCTGCAACTTCTTTCCAATCTTTAAGTGCGTCAGTCCAAAAATTTGTTCCATTCTCCTTGCATGATTCTTTCTTATCCAATGTTGATGATTTCTTGTCGTTTGATGTAAAATGTTTCCACTTCATCATGGTACATTGTTGGTGCATAGTGGCTATTTTTCTTATGTATTAGTGCTTTCCACTTGAGATACCCCTATTTTGTAAAAATTACACTTAATCTTCTATTCAGTGGATTATGAACTCCATGCACTGAGAAAGTTTGCTTCTTCTGAGTGAGAGAAGCAAGCTGAAAACTCCAATCCTTGCCGTCTATAAAAAGGTTGCCAGTGGGTTGTTGTATACTATTATTACAACTTTGACATTAACCAAGTTGTAGATATTACATTTCTTTCCAGTATCATAATGAAAATTTTACTTCCAACCAAAGGCATAAATTATATTTTTATGACCTTTGTTGAATGATAGCGCACAAGTGGTGTTAATGTCTTCAGATGGCACTCTGATATAACACTTTCAAGTGATGCCAGGGTATGGAGTGTTCCAGGAATATTGGCTATAGCAGAGACTTAAAATTCAGACTGCAAATCACCATTAGAAGAGAAAATGCAGAATGACCATTCCAACTGTCCAGAAGTTTTTTTATTTTTATTTTATTTTTTTTCCAAGACTACCTGTATGAAATTACATTTCAATTGTTTGGAGCTTGCATTTTCAATTCTACACTGTTAAAAGAAATTGAGCTACAAAGATAAATCTTTTTTCAAGCTCTATGTAAAGTTTTTAGATATATTGAAAATAAAATGTTAGTTTGAGATCCTCAAATTTCAGTAACATGCCAGGTGTACTTGTGTCAGTTTAAACACTCTCTATTTGCCACTAAGATGCCTAGGTGTGTGATTGGTAGCATGGTCCTTGTGTCTGGCAATGACTATTACTATTGCCATCTCTTAACTTTTAGATATTATATCTTGGTCAGATGAAGCCTGACAGTATGCAGTCATTCCAACCCAGATAGCAGCTGACTTCCTTCAATATCTATGGGATTGCCTTTACCTTAGACACCTAGCCAAGATCATTCTTCTGGAAACTCCTTGTACTAGCCAGTGTCATTGTAAAAACATCCTTTTACACAGTGGTGCAGTCTCAACATACCCCTCCCCACTCAATTGTCTAGCCTGCCTGCCTGATGAGGTGCACTTATAACCAGACATGAGATTTAGAGGATGGAAGATGACCAATGCACCTGTCCAACAAACATTCAGGAAGAAGACAGATTACAAGGACTATCAAGAGCACCCTACATCCCAATTTTCATTACTAAAATGAATTTACCAGACTCTTGTTCTATCATAGTTGCAGAAATTAAAATGCTTTTTATAGTTTACTGATTGAGGGTATTATTATTTTTATTTTTAAGTTACAAAAAGCTGTTGGCCCTGAAATTACAAAGAATGACTTGGTACTGGCTTTTCAAGGACTTTTAAAAGACTGTGAAGCTGAAGTCCGTGCTGCAGCTGCACACAAGGTTAAAGGTTAGTAACTTGCACTTCAGATTGATATAGGTCACTGATTGGTAAAAAGATCAGTATTTTCCACAAATAAAAGAATTTATCAGGGATGGGAAATGGATTGCTAACTCTTTTCATTATTATATATTCTAATTTACCTTTTAATGTTAACTGGAAAACTCAAAGCAGCTTCTGTATTTTTATATTTTCAGTCTATTTTAGTTACTTCTCTCATATTTGGGATTCTAACTGGAAAATCATGCCAAGTATTTTGTCTGTTAAAATACATTCTGTTTAATGTTTCAATGTTTATTTTAGGACAACGATTTTGTCAATTATCAAACTTTACCATACTGTAGCTGTTTTTGCCCAATAAAACAGCAGAATATCAGTTTGGTGTATGGAATAAGATAACCCACTAGATTGAGAAAAAAATCTGTTGAGACAAAAAAATTAAACACATTACCACTTTTGAAATTTATAATAGATGCTATTTGTTTTACCATAAATTTAATTTTAACAGCTTGCCTTTTAATTCTGTTGTGAAAAGTTTTTAATGAAATTTGTCTTCTTGGTATTTTAAGATATTAATAGTTTTTATGTAGTTATATTTATTCCGATACTTTCCTTTCACAGTTGATTTGAGAGGTTTCCTTAATTTGCTATTAGCTTTTAATTGAATTTTTTTTTTCCTGCCTCCAGATTTTTGCCAGTATCTTGCTCCTGATGTGCGTGAAAGTTTGATCATGACAAATATCCTTCCATGTGTTAAAGAGCTGGTCTCTGATGCAAACCAACATGTTAAATCAGCATTAGCTTCAGTCATCATGGGACTTTCACCAATATTAGGCAAAGAAAAGTGAGTATTTTTATTTTTTCATACTCCTTATTTTCTCTGTCAGTGAGATTATTAAATATTTTTATCCTTAATTGATATTAAAGTTAACCTATTGTGGCAAAAGGTCAGATACTGATTGGAAGTTTGTTGCAACACAATCTTTCAAGAGAGCTAAATCCATTTTGTTTATACAAAACCTGTTATATTTTTTTTTTTTTTTTTTTTTTTTTTTAATTCTAGCACTATAGAACATCTTTTACCATTGTTCCTGACACAGTTGAAGGATGAATGCCCTGAAGTTAGGTTAAATATCATCTCTAACTTAGATTGTGTTAATGAAGTAAGTGTAACACTTCAGTTTTTTATACATTTTTCTATTTTGTACATAACTTAATTTCTGCTTGTAAATTGTTTTTCATATTCTTTCCAGTGAGCTGGGGGGGGGGGGTTAAGAAATATATTTATTTGGTTGATGTCCACTGGTTAACTTCTCATAACATTGCATATCTATTTTTTGTGTATGATTTTTATTCCACTATGTGATCATCAAGGGATAATGATTTGCTGGTATAAATTTGTGCTGGTCTCTGAAAATTGTACCTTGCAATTATTTTCTGCTCATTTTATTTAGCATAATGTTGTTTGTGCTCACTCATCTTGTAAATTTATTTCAGGTTATTGGCATTAAGCAGTTATCACAAAGCCTCCTTCCAGCCATTGTAGAGTTGGCAGAGGATACCAAGTGGCGAGTGCGGTTAGCCATCATCGAATACATGCCCCTACTGGCTGGGCAGTTGGTAGGTAGCTGCATCAATAGTATTAGTGATGAGGATGGTAACAGTTTTTTGTGGATGATAGAAAGAAATTGTGAGCTTTTTTTTTTTTTTTTTTTTAAGCAGTGTTTTTTGTGATGTGTGTGCATGCTCACCCATCACTTCTTTATAAACATTGAAAAATTATTAATGGTTTTAATTTCTTTTCTTTTTCTTTACCCACCTACTTTCATTAATTTAATCTCTAATTTTTAACATTACTGTGCCACATCTTAGAAACTTGCGATTGTACAAAGCAAGCATTAACCTTTCTTGGTTATTTTGTAACCTGTTATACTTGTATATTGCCCAATCTGTTTTTGGATTGCGGGTGTCTCTCTCTGTTTAACTGATGTATATTGGAACTGGGTGCTGTTTGCAAGATTCTTTGAAGAACGTTGCTTTGTACAAAAACTGTATTTGGCTAATTGTAGGACTTTTTTTTCTTTTTTTTTCTTTTTTTTAATTTGAAAACACTTCAAAATTGACACCCACCTAGCAGTTTTGTCAAAATAGCTTTTTAATAATTAAACATAGTTTTACTAAGAGTAGTATTCTAATCTTGATTATTATAGTCATAACAGTTTGACTGTTGTACCCTTCAACTTTCTTCAGCTATTCTGATTCTGCTATCCATGCTTGGGGTGTTTTTGTATCATTTAACTCTTGCTAGTGATGTTGCTGTTCTCTTCTGGTGAAACTATGTGTGCCCTGTAGTTGATGTTCAATCTGTAGTTTGGCTAGTGCAGGTTCAGTGGAAGAGATAGCAATATTTTAAGATATCAAGATATCCTCTGGCATGGCCAGCAGAATTGATCCAACTTACTCTCATGTATTTAATATTGTTCAGCTTGAAATTCACCAGTAACAATCATGACATACACCTTAAGCCTGAAGAGCACAATGGCTGAAATATTGTCACTATAACTACCAAAGTGTGGACATGAGTAAAAGTAAATTAGTGTATAATCACTTGTCATCTCAAAAAAATTTTAAGAAAAATTTGCTATATTTTTTTTATTTTTTTTTATTTTTTTTATTTTTTTTTTATTTTTTTTAAACAAAAAACTTATAACTGTTCATTTTTGTGTTCAGTTAATTTTTGAGTGGATTTGTTTCTCCAGCACTGGAAATGGTCCCAATTACCAAACTATATACCACATTTTGTTTATGCACCCTCAATCCACATTCACACTTAGCACCTCCAAATTTTTCCAAGACTAACTTTTAAACTGAAATGACTTAACTCTTTAAAGAAAAATACTTATGGTTGTTTGGTATTCTTGATAATATTGACTAATTTCATGTTAATATTTTGATCTTTACTCAAACGGAATTTGTATGTCTGGCACAAGGCCAAAAACTTCCCATATTTCTTATTGATTCACTTTGGCCAAAACTGGACCTTTTCCTCTGCTTACTATTTTTTTTTTTTTTTTCCTTTTTCCTTTTTTTTTTCTTTCAGGGTGTAGATTTCTATGATGAGAAACTGAACACATTGTACATGAACTGGCTTAATGATTACGGTGAGTGGTTCCACCATACCGTTATTTTAGTTTATTTTTTTTCACTTGTTTTGCAGGGTGTAGATTTCTTTGAGGAGAAACTGAACACATTGTGCATGAACTGGCTTGTT